GCCTTTAAACTTAAACTAAAACTTTTCTGTTTTATGTGAACTTAATTAACGCTAGTATAATATAGATCAGTTTAGTTTTATTCCTTTTAAAATAAACTTCTATTAGATAAAAAAATAATTACGGTAGTAAATTAGTTAGGTATTCAGCCAAACTAGGAAAAGTCAGTTTTTAGAGCTAACCTGTAACTTACAGCTATAATGTGGTCCGGTCACTTCCGCGCGCTTTCCGCTTAGTCTTCAATTTAATTTGATCCGACCCCTCCCCCCTCTCATCCTCCTTTTAAACCGCAACATGCTATGAACGCTTCTTATAGACTCCTTCCAATTCTGCTATTCTGACTAAACGGTGAATTGTATAGAGACTACTTTTGTTCGTAGGTATTTTTGTAAAGTGGAGCCTATTATGGAAATGTTTCAGTTTTGTTGTTGTTCAATACATTTATATTATGATACTAACCAACCATAATTAATTAGTACAGCATGTCAATATGCCAAGTAATTACCTACCCACCATCTGTATGTTAATCTAGATAGACTACAATCAAATTGTTACAATTGTATCATTTACCTATTCATGTACGACTGTATATTTTTATCCACAACACTGGTATATCAATAAAGTGAACGAAATCACCTGAAGGAATATGAAATATTTAATAAGTTCTAAAGTACATTTTTACTTGACTTACGTCATTCTAATTATATAAAAACTGCCATGTTCAATAACCAACTCAGCAGCCTGAAGCGGTTGGAATATAAATAACCGAGAAGTTTTCTTTCATACTACCGCACTTCAACCCTAAGATGGTGCGCTGAGCCGTATTAAATAAGATTTCTGTTTTATGTTGAATCAGCTCACGGCTTCTAGAAAACTATTTTCCATCAGTTTGTTAAATACGCTCATTGACGAGAACTTTACAAGTTAATCAATCTTATACTTTCTCAACACAAACTTCTACAAAGTTTTAATACGTCGAGTTGTGATAGTTTGTCTTTTAGTGTTTCTCTTCTTAATGTTTTACAGGTATTTATTTAATACGTTTTCTTATTATTGATTGAACTATTATAGTATTTTAGTAGTTACATTCATCATTTATCAAAATCACTAGATTATCCTGGTCCGGGAATATCTATGATTAACGAAGTTTTCAGTTTAGTAGCAACAATAATTAGTAACTTTAACTGTGGATCTACGTATATTTATTATATTTATTTATTTATGTACACACATTCAACACAGAGGACAATACATAATAAAAAAACAGAGTACATAGGCATGCATATAGATATAATTATCAAAACCAAATTTAGCTGATTTGATTAATTTAAAATTTTTCCAAATTACAAATTACCGAAATGCAGAGAAACGATATTTCAGAATGTGTATGACAAAAAAGTAAAAAAGACGTATCTTTCGAACACCGTGCTCGGTCGTCACTAGGGAAATTATGGGATATAAAATATTTGTATGATCGTCACTTCGCCGAATTTCTCATGTTGTGTTTTTTCAGTCTACCTCGATAAAACTGTGAAAATTATATACGAAAAATTATTTTCGGTACAATATCATTTACCTCGTACATAAATAAAAAACTTTCTAATGAACTTAAGCTAACTAGGCCAACAGACAACCAATAACCAATTACCCATTTTCATTTGTTATTCGGAGAATGTGTGCAAAGTAATACCTCCGTTGATGTACCTAAGAAAAGTTGGAGTTTACTACATCAAGTTACTATTCCAATGCAATGCAATGTAATTAACCTATATAATATACAAAGGGCATTCGGATGTTTGCAAATTTATAAAACTGTTATTATCGTCAAATTGTTTTTATACAACACAATCTCAGATACGAAAACTAATACAAACATGAAAAAATTTTTAAGTGAAACAAAATGAACTTAGTTGATAGACTAGACACAGGACAAACACAGGAAGTAAATAGAGTGGAGAATAAAGTTAAAACTAAATAAACTAGTTTGAGAGTCGATAGCGGACAACGCACACAACGCATAGACTGTGTATTTGCATTTTTATTGGAACCGTTTAAAGAAACAATGGACGGATCGGTTGAAACGCTTGCCGTTTGGGAAATTCGAATGTTTTTTTTTTCTTTTACACAGTCCTCTGTATAAGCCTTCATCGATTCTATTCTGTTATAATCTGGGCTACTGGTGTTGTTTTAGAAACAATCCCACTTTGTACGTCGTTTCTACTTCGTGGAAACAGAATATAAAATCGATTAGCCCTCGCCGCATACTGGGAACTGAATTCAATAAAGTGCTGAGCTTAATCAACCTCGAACATAGAGAGTACCAGTTACTTAGCTAACTTGTATATGTATGGGCAAATAGAAAACTTAAGTTCCACATATTAGTTCTTCGGAGAAAACTTTAAGGATCTAATATGAAACAAGTATTTGGTATAAGTTGAGAGTTCAATATTCTAGAGCTCCAATCACAGTTTCAACAAAGTCAATATTGTTCAAATTACGAGCATGCACTTTCTTTTATATTCATTCTTAAAATGTACTTTGTTTAGCAAATGTATCCTATCAAAAAAAGGTAAAACGATATTTGTAATCACCGAAACACCATTCCCAGACAAAAACATGTGTAAGTAAAAATTCTCGATCTTCCGCATGGAACAGTCTACGAAAACCTTTGTTTGCTGGCTGTCGCTTCAAACATGGTCTCTGAATGACTTTGAATGTTGCTGACAATGGCAAGCTCTCGACGTGACGTGGAGCTTCCCACTCTTTTTGGCAGCACAATCCTTCAAAGGCGGATGAAATGAGAGCATCTTAATATCCACGTTTTAGTCTTATTTCGTGTGACATTAGCGAGCCCTCGACGAATGAACAAAGCCTCGGGTTATTCTGCAATATAAAATTGTTAAAACTTCTATTTTTTCATAATAGGAATAAACGAGAAGTTTGAATTGTATTTAAGTACTTGAATAATATAATATCACGTAACAAAATAATATAATTTCGAGAAAATATTCATATATTCATATTTTCCAATAACTATTAGCGGGAATCCAATGCAGTTTAATTACTATCGAATGAATAACAAAATACGTTGTTACAATTTTAGGTAGGAAATTTATATATACCAATTACGGGAAACACAGCTTTAACTGCTTTTTATGAATAAACCCAATTTATTTCTCCCCACATCACAGCACACACGACAGTGATAGTCCACTACTGGTGCTCTTCTATACATATAAGAGGGATTGACTTCATCTCCTCGTAATTAAAGATTCAGATTTTTCAGAAATCACCAGGTTCTCTGTTAAATATCCAGTCCCTTAATCAGCCCTTAGGCAAAAACGACAGTTTACTATGAATTTTGTACGAGATTGTGTATTGTGACGTCACGTTTTTTTAGTGTCAAACAGCATACTTATTTCTTAAATATTTACTGGAAAAGTACTAAAATTAAATTGGTCATGAAATCAATGAATGAAAGTGTAATTATTTAATTTATATTTTATTGTATTGAACAGTAGAAATAATTTATAACACAAGTACCCAATTTTTGGTTACCTAAAATTGTTACCATACGGTACTACATATTTGGCCTTAAATTAGTAGGTATAATAATACGTACAAAAATAACGGTATTTTTTAAAGTCACACAAAAAGTTTAATTGAAAATTGAATATTTTTGCAGAATAGCCCCTGAATTTAGGACGATGCATCTGAATGCAAAGGCTTCTTGTAACAGGATGCGATATCCTTTGTATGAGAATATGAAATGCATTTTAGTCTCGCGTTACCTACGTTCTCACTCTAATGAGGTCTCATGTAAATGGTACTTCATTTAAATGCACACTCATGCAGTCTATAATCTGTTTATACTTAGCAATTAGTATCGCTCACGTTTCTACACTACTACACTATGTCGAAGTAGTGTCTTGGTTGTGTTTGAATTATGAAGAGATATTGTGTTGTATATTTAATGTTATTAACTTATTTTATTTTGTTAATAAGTCACTGTTCGTTTTTAATAGTATAGATAATAAACTTCCACAGCCTCTTTATAAATTTATTTCATATGCATGTCAAAATTAATTTTGATTACAATGACAACAAGAATTTCGTTTCTAGCATGACTTGAAACTAGTCGAGTTCGGCGTCAAATAGTTACACGTGTAGGCCGAAAACATAATAATTAATTTAGTATGTTTCACGAAAGTCATAATATATAAATCCCGTTTATTCTTTACTATATACGAATTTAAAATTGTTCATTAAACCACAAGGACGTTTCCGCGATTCTACAAGTGATACAAACTATACAGGGTGTGTGTATTGGCAGAGTTTGTGTACATTACACAGTGCGGCCGCGATCTGGCAATTAGTGGCAAACCTTTGTTTTAGTTGCACTAACAAAATAAACCTCCCGTAGCTGTCAAATGAAAATGGTTGTTGGTTCTTACACAACACAATTTAACACTTATTTACTATACCAATAGATGCATTGTTAATTCAGCAAACTCGCTAATCGTGTTAGGCGGGACTTCTAATTAATTATTCTAATAGTTTTAATTAGAGGTGGGAGGCGTTTACGTAGCGTACTGAAAATCGAAGCTTTAATTGACGTTTTGCTTTAGTGCAAATTTTTAGGTTAAAAGACAATTAATTGGATATTATTTATTCATAAGTATGGTTAAAAGTGATAAATGCGTCAACTTATTTACAATCTCAATTATAACATTGAATAAACCTCATATTAACAGACATTAAATTCTTTTAAAATCTTGAGTACTACAACTGAATCATATCAGGTTATTTATCTCATAAACTAACATTATTTCTAAAAAGCGCTTACTCCATTCACATCAGTAATACCCACATCGCCTCTTTTTGATTTCTTAACAAAGTCATAGCAAAAAATTATATTTAAAATTATTTTATCAATCTTCTTGAAACAATCTTCAAAATATACACTACCTTCTCACTAAAGAGATTCAATTGGAGCTTGGAGCTATATTCCTTTTTCACATAAGTAGAAATTCATAATGTGTAAAACAGTAAATATTTGGAAGCCATTGCAGTACGCAGTTCCTTGGTCGTCGGGGGCTAACACCACTAATTTGGCATTGAAGTCGAGTAGGCCACATTTGATGCAAAATTTTACGCCAAAAGCAGTTCGGGCCAACCTTTCTTCTTGCCAGGAACCTAACCGTTTCTCTGTAATTACAATACATTATGCTAATGTCTTGTATTTTCGTTTATATTCGTCATGGTACAAAAACAGATATTGCATTAATTCATGTATCAGTTGTATGTACCTACAATTAAATCAGGGTTTATGTGTATGTTTAATCAAGCCATTATCTTCTGTAACTATTGATCGGTTCAATAGCCAACCAATGGTTACTGTCTCAGTACTAAATCAATCTTAATTTTCTTATCTACATAGTAAACAGCTGTGATGGACTTATACTATTAGTATCTTAAAGCATGTTCCATAGTGTATTTTCGAAAGGAGATGTACATTTGTCCTATCGGACGGTTCTCGACCTGGGATCAAAAGCTGATACTTATTTCTATCTCACTTAAGTAGTGAAGTCATGAGTTATACTAACAAAACTCACCTCGATATAACAATGGCATAATTTTTCTATACAGATGCATTCTTCGAGCGCACTTTTCATTTCTCGTAATGGCGAGTACACGGCATGGGGGTGCTGAACAAGACAGGTCCTTTGCTGAAGACCCCGTAGAAGTTAGTACAAAGATAGCCTTTGCTCCACATGTTACGGCCGCAATAGAAGCAGCCAGCGCTACAGAGTACGGTTGTAGAACCGGCAGCAACAGCTACAATACAAGTTAACAACCTATTAAATATAATAATTTCATCCTATTATTCTTTCTCGGTTATGTTATTGGCAGGACTTGTTGTCATTATTACAAGAATAAATCCCGAATTTTTCATTTTTACAACGCATGCACAACTACGAGTTCTAAATTTAAACTAGAACTATGTGCATGTGTTTTCAGTTGTTGTTACTGCAATTTATTTTGCAAAAAGATTTAACGCATTTTCGTTGCTTTATTATTAGTTATTGTCTAGAGTGTCACCTGGTCGCGGAGAACCTAACGGGTAACCGGGGCTCCGGCTCGACGTGCAGGAGAAGGAACGGGGTGGTTTTTAGTCAGTAAGAGTCTGACACTCCCTTCTGCCTCACCCAGGCGGGAGCAGTCATTCGATGATTATCCCCCCTTAAAAAAAAAAGAAGAGTGTCACCTGGGCGGGAGAAGTCATCGGATGATTTTACGCCCTCAAAAAAAAACTGCCGAGCAAGGCGTCTCGGGTTCGATTCCCAGGTCGGACAAGTATTACTTTAAAAAAATTGCACGGAGTCTGCAATTGTGCCCGGTAAATGGCAATAGGCTCAGCCCCTATTACATGGGACTCATAAAATTAATAGTGAAGAGTGGGCGTTACATTGGACAGTGACATTAAGTGCCGTAATGTGCACCTCTGCCTACCCATTCGGGATAAAAGACGATGGTATGTGAGGTGTGATTATTATCTGCTTTAATTGTGAAGTAGTGTGGTCACCCAGATAATATCGATTATAAAAATACCGAAACACAAAAGCACTTACTGGAAAACTTTTATTAAAATAATCTGCAGTTAGATTGGTTTCATTTTCTAGTATCTCTGTGGCGCTTACAAACGACTGTATGAATGCTATTGGCGGTTGTTTTCCATGGTTTTTCAGAATAACACCATCAAATCGATTCGTAATCAATTCACGCACTTGTGTCAGTAATTCTCTATCGTTAGATGGACCTTCGTAATAATCTTCTACTATGTCCGGGTGCATGTAGAATACGGGTTTGCGAGCCTGTAATTAAGACGTAATTTATATTAGAATACGATTGTATGTATTTTTTTAAGGGGGGAAAATCATCGAATGGCTGCTCCCGCCTGATTGAGGCGGGAGGGAGTGTCAGACTCTTACTGACTAAAAACCACCCCGGTCCTTCTCTTGCACATCGAGCCGGAGCCCCGGTTACCCGTTAGGTTCTCCGCGACATGTATAACAGTATGCGATTCAAGTACTCGTAACTAGCTTCAGTCAAATATATGCAGTAGGGACTACTAACGCCTCGAGCGTCCTTATGAGCACCCGGTGGATCATAAGAAAAATTGCTCCATACTGCTTTCTCTTTTATAAAATCTATTATTAATGTTTTGTTTTTATTTTGACTGTACTTTTTATTTCCATTGTAATGATTCTTGTTTTCGTGTGCCAATGGCCAAATAAATGCATTTTCTTTCTTTCTTTCTCCAAATGTCACGTGTGCACCCGTTGGATCATAAGGTACGCGGACGCTCGACGGGTTAATCAAAAATAAATTACTTCAACTGTTCAATACAATAAAATATTAAAAAATATTCTCTAACTCTTTCATTAATTAATTTTATAACCAACTTAATTTTAGTATATTTTCAGAATTTTTTAAAGAAATAATTACGCTGTTTAATCTGTCAAACACCAAGCGGTCACCGGTGACCGCGACCTATTGTTCTTTAATTGTGTCTATAAAACCGGTACTCGACGAGTTAAAGCTAAAAAAAACGTGTGACGTCATGTTTCAATTCACAATCTCGTACACAATTCATAGAAAACTAGTTTTCGACTAATTCATAGAAAGTATTGAATTTGACTAGTTGTCAAATACCGTATTATAATTTAAATATATAACTACAAATCACAGCGATACAGCTACCATATTACTCTATTCTAAGTGCGAAACTTTAAACAATTTACAAGGAGTAATTAAACTTACTTCGTTAACAATATTTAGGAGGTAGGCTCCCAACTTGCGAGCCTTTGTTTTTGTTAGGCCCAAATTAACATTCAGGCTATATTGGTCTAACCCTTTTTACTTATTACAACTTCCTACAATAAATTTATGAATAACATAAACGTAGTAACAGGCTTTTTGTGGCTTGAAGTGATAAGCAGATTTGTACTGACAATAAGGTATTTGGTATCATTACAATAGGAAGTAAGATAATATTATCGGTAGACTGCGTCGTTGGCCGAGTGGTCGCAAGTGCAACTGCCGGGCAAAAGGTCTCGGGTTCGATTCCCGGGTCGAGCAAAGTATTACTGGGTTTTAAAAAAATTCTCAGTTGTAGCACGGAGTCTGAAATTGTACCCAGTATATGGCGATAGGCTCACCCCCTATTACATGGGGCTCATAACATAAACAGTGGAAAGTGGGTGTTACATTGTACAGTGGCATAATGTGCACCTCTGTTATGTTATGTTTTTGACTTTAAAATAAAATTGACAAGGCAGTTCTCAGTTATAGCTACACCAAGTATACAACAAGAGACAACTTACATCTGTACATAGCTTCAAAACATTGTAATACACGTTAAACACGTCACCCATACTCGGATCCAAAACAAGACCGCTCGAAATCTAATAAAATGAAAATTCTCATTGAACAATAAATTATGTGAAATATTCGCTTCCTTTATAAAATTTAATATCTTATTAACCTTAATTAATTCATTTAGGTCCACAATTCCAAGGGACGGAGGCCAGAGTAAAATGGTCATAGATGACAATTTCTTATTTTGTTTCTTGAATTCGCGCAGTTGGTTCGTCGACGTAACATCCTTTAAAATTATAATGTCAACCTGGAAGAAACTTTTTAATTAGTTATCGAAGAGACTTTGTCTTTTTTCCTGAGAAAATTTTCTTCGCGACAGAAAAACAAGAGAAGATTATTTTAAGTCAGACTAATTGTTGATGAGAAGAAGTTTTGACCCTCGAGGGTGCAGACACTTTCATCGACCTCAGACTATCTAACATCACGTTTTAATGATAAGGTCCTTAATCCACTAGGGCCAGTAGGCAGAGATGAAAAATGCCTATGTACAATATAACAAACCTACTTTTCATCACGTATGGCGTTTATATACCTCCGTGCCCGTAGCAAAATGTTAGGAAAATCGAAATAAAGCAGTATTGATCTACTCGTCTCGGGAATCGTATGAGACTTTATGCATACTTTTCAAAACTTTACATTATGTTATTATGAGAATTGAATCTACTTACTCTATCATCTAAGTCAATAGGATTTAGAGCAGATATAGTAACAGATAATCCGACAGGAATATAAAGCGACGGCATAATTTGCGGTATTTTTTCAAACAAATCTACAGCAATTTTGATTTGTTGGAAAAATCCATTATCATGTATTGTCATGTCGACATTGATGATATTTACTCCAGCATTAACAAGGGCGCGAATGTCATATCTGTCGTATGACACATTATCTGAAAGTGCAATTTGATTCAATTTTTTTTTTCAAAAATCCAATTGTAATATGAGTAATTAAAAAATACGATCAAGTTCTACTGCAACAAAAACATGAATATTAACAAAAATTCCACATTGACGATTACTACTACAACTAATAACAGTAGGTCAATAAAAGTCGGCTGTCGCTGTATGCACATGTTCTGACAAGACATGAAAGGCATATGACAAAATGAGATTGATGGTTATGACGGCTAGACTAGAGGTGACGAGTACACAGAGTGTTGATAAAACATAACTTGTTACACGTCCCATATGAAACCCAAATTGCTATTCCCAAACCGAAAGAGATACGTGGAGTTATATAGGTAAAGTCGAATTATAGAATATTGTTAAAATTCGGGTACAATACGTACCTTTTCACACGTTCCAGTTGCCGGGTACCCGGCGGTGCAGTTTATGGCCATATACTCTAGCTTTCACACGTACCGGCGTAATTTATAAAAAATGCGCTGCCGGGTACTCGGCACCGGCTACCCGGCAACCGAACGTATGAAAAAGCACTTCTTGTTACAGTTTTGAAAAGGAAATTCACATTAAAATAACATTTATAAATGATTATTTAAGTCGTTTACAGTAAACTTATTCACTTAAAGAGGGTAAGACACCTTAATATTTTATGATAACTTTGACATATTATTTTTATATACTTACGGCAATCATACATAATATTAATAGTTTCGTAAACCGTATCGTTCTTAGTTTCCAGGCCATTGAACACCTGTAAAATCAATAGTTAAGAATATCTTACAATATCTTATATTAAGTAGAACCTCCATCAACCTATACTCAATGTTAAAATTCTTATATGAATAGGTGTTATAAATCAAATTTTAAATCATACACTCACGCCTTCTTTTTGCTTACTGGGATTATGATTCATCCACCAAACCATTTTGAAATATATCTCGTATTTTTTAATTCTATGTTATAGTTACAATGATTATTGCCTTTGATTATGACCAATATTTCATGACCACTTAGAATTAATAACGAAACGTTGAAATTAGGAATCTAGGTATAAATTCTATTTAAAATAAATTGGTGACATAGGTACCAAAGAGATCGTATTATCAGATATTTTAATGGCTTGTATTCTTGTATTGTTTCCTTTATAGAAAACCTGTGCCTTTAGCCTAACATCACTTTAGCGCTTGCCTACAGAGAGAGTAGAAATCAAAATGTATGGGGATGACACTGACAAGTGTAAAAATTTACGTCAATTCCATATAATTTGGCAAGTGGCATCAAAGAGTATAATAATTGGGGATAGTGGCATTTGGCTACAGCTGCTGATTGTATTAGGTAAAGAGGTACATGCGCTATATTAGTCTTGAAGCTTGATATCAGCCTCTCTTAATAAATTAACATTAAATTTTATTTCGCATTTTGCAAAATAGCCGCGTGTGATAAGGCCGGGTATTGTACTCAAAGTACTATTACAATGTATACTTATTTTTCGATGTGTGCAATAAAGTATAAAATAAATAAATAAACTTCTCTGATGTGTAAAGGGTAATTGTGTACTATGGCAAAAAAGAGAAGCCGAGTATAAATAAAATATTTTTTATTTAAACGCAAATTTTTCGTACCGATATTCATGAATGCGGGTACAATCCCAATCAAAATCTGACCACCGCATTAAATTTTCAGCGTCCAACCATAAGCGACACCTGGAATAAAATTACCGCACATGCCAATGTGCCCTCATAACCAATTATGGTGGACCAATTCTCGGTACTTTCAAAGAAACGATATTTTATGAGTTAAAATGTGGCTACATCCATCGTGTACGAAGAGCACTTCAATTTATGCGCGTAATTAAGTAGAGTTTGCGATGGGGCCGGAGCTCGGCACTTCCCACCAGTAAATGGAATTTACGTACGCCTCCTTTCGAAAGTATCTTGAGTTTTTGGTTTAAAAATAAAAGGGAAGCGTTGGTTGATGACAATGAGTTAGATTTCAAGTTGAGAGAATTCAGAGTTTATTATTGACATTGAATCGCTTCGCAAACTCCTGAGAGTTCTTAACGTATTAGCAAATACTGTTAAGAGCTAACATAAAATCCATTTCATAAATGTGATATGTATATTTCATATTTACAAGTGAAGTACTTCAAGGTACCTGGAAATAGACTATAAATAAATTTCATAATTTTAGAACTTTTTAATATTTTTATACGTGATTCGATGTTGGCCCCTTAAATTATATATCGCTAAATCTTGTGACTTAATTGTTTTAAGAGCTTTTATTCTGCTGCCGTGAGAGAAAAGGGTGGACCAAAGACATTGAATGCGCTGTATTGCATTAATATTTAGTTACGAAAAATAAATTGATTGTAGGTACAACGACAACCCATAGCTTGAAGCTATTAATTTTCATTTATTGGTATTTTAAATGTTTTCCCACATTTTCTCCTGTGTCTTAGGTGCATGTACAAATACACAATCTTACTATTGTTTATTCACATTCAGACCCAGAACCATTCATAGCATACACGGTGACGTAGTGACTGCCTAGTCACTACGCCAACCGTGCTCGTTTTCCAGTCACTAAGTAGTCACTATGCCAACCGTGCACGTTTTCCAGTGACTAAGTAGTCACTACGCCAACCGTGCAGGCATAATTACAGACCGCGCGGTCAAAATGACTTAGACTGTTTTTCTGTCTATAAATTGACATGTCCAGTAATTATGTTATAATGTAGATAGTTTGTTTCTCAAGTTATAATGACATCCATTTATTATTTTGTACTTATATTATTATAAAATAATAATTACCTACTTGACCACCGTTTGACTTACAATAAAGGTTTTTTCGTAACGTAATTTTATCAAGGTTTTCATTTAGTACTGATTAATTTATGACCGCTATTACACATTACTGAACATCAACCTTCACTGAACTGAGCATCTAAAATCATAGTTTCTATTACACTGAGTTGCCCAACAATTGAAACTAATTAATTTTAATTGAATAGTTCTGTAGCTTGTTAGTTCCAATTATATTATAATCTTCATTTACTTAAGTAAATAAGTATCTCTATTCTAAATAGTAAGAAACGTCAGACTATCACAACAAAGCCTTTAATAGGACCTTATTTTCTCCTATTTAGGCCTATTTTCGCTTTTAGCAAAAATTCCCTTTTAGTGATGAAAAAAAGAAAATTGTTCCATCTTTGCTTGGACCTTATCTTGAAAGTGTACTACAATTGAATTAGACTTTTACTGAAAATCGGTCCTTCTTTATTATTATCGTGAGTGATCTTTACATTATAAATGGTTGGTTTTTGTTAAGACTACAATATAATTTGTTTCGACATAAAAGTTACATAGACAATTTTCAAGTTGACTTTGTAAATTAAATAAGGTATGTAAAAGGAATAGTGCGTTTAAAACAAATTGAATTTCAATTTTATCTTTTTATCATTATGACATATTTATAACTAAATACGACTCACACCCGAAGGTGTGAGTTGCAAACATTATGACTTCATTTTTTCATCAATTTGAAATTGTAGTAGAAGCACTTAAATATCGTGGCACCTCCGTCATTTTATAAAGAATTTGTAGTGATAGAACTATACTTAAGCGCGATTTAAAATTGAGTAACATTTGAGTATTTCGACATCAGTCACCTTAAACATTTCTTAACTTTCCCAAAACATCTGAGCAACACTTCCTCATAATTTCTTCTAAACAGAAATCTAACTGTTAACAAAAAAACACAGATCAAAAGAATCCAAGACCATTGTGTCTCCGTCATCGCGTTAATATTACAAAAGATCCAGTACAGCAACTGTTATAATGAAGTGAAATATTCATCAGCTCCTGTCTGGAGACTGGCTACGTAGCCGTAGCTACCACCCGAAACCGTACCTCCTAACTGCCTTATTATGTTTTACATTGAAATTTTAAAATTGTGTACATAAAAATGGTTAAGGATATTAATGAATAAGGTTTACTTTTGTTCAATATAGATTAATTTACTTATGCCATAAAAAAAATACGAATCAATATACTCTAAAAAGCGTTAACATTTTTCATTTAATCGATTACATTTGATGTTACATAACACCATAGCAATCACAATACCTCAACCGTTTACCATAGGCCTTCCCAATGACTTCTTGGCCATTCAATCACCAATCAGTAACATTTACTTTATTACTGACCAATGAACACCTTTTCTATTAGCCTATATTCTACAAGACAAACAGAACACCTCCGGTCCTCAGACATTGCTTTATTAAAAAGAAACAATCCCTCTTATCCTTAACAAACAAACGTTCATTTACAAAATCTATAGAGAACAAAGAGATATGATGAGAAGGTGCACAAACCTGATGAGACAACCTCTTTACAATGCATAGTGCCTCTGGAAATAAGATTACCTATCATAGTATCTGTGTATTAACAAACAAGAACACTGCTTCAATTTCGATCGTGTGTTCATTAGGCTTGACTAATTTGTCTATCTATAACAAAGAGAATTTCTAGCCAATACTAGAGACTATCTGCGTATGTACGTACAAAGGTGTATCCGTTATTGATGTTTTTGACGCATATTGATGCAATTTTGCAAACAGAAAACTCTTTTATTAATCTAATGCGAATTTCTCACTAAAAGGATACTTCATCAGTAATACACGGCAAATGTCACATTTTAATATGTAATCAAATTTTAAAGGAATACAAATTATAATCTATATGGAAGTTGAGAGATGCCTAAGTTTGACAGTGGACGTCCTGTAGCTGATATGATATCGATGAAAACTGATTGTTTATCAAGCCAAAAACATTCCAACTGATTTTGATAAATCTTCAAAAATATAAACACATTTCCCTTGAGTAAACTTTTGGTTATTTAATTAAAAACTAACAATTATAGTAATGCATCCGTTTTTCGAAGTAAAACTAAAACAAACAGAATAAGCCGACGACGGACTCGCGTCGTTGAATTTTTGAGGGCCCCGTGTGAGACAGGCGCATATTTTGGATGAAAATCTGCTGTCGTACGAAAAAGAAAACTCATTTGCATACAGTTCGACATACGTCTGAACCGACCTGTTTATCATGAGACGTCTAGAATTATGATTGCATTTAAAATGAGGAATGAAAAGTCGAGTGTTTTGTTATCTTTGCATTTGTTTAGCGGTAACATTCTCGCGTATGAAATGTTAATATTCAAAGTCGTTGACTGCTTTAATTTATTTCTAGGGGTGCAAGGGTCGAAGTTGATGTTTGTGCTAGATTTTAATTTGCATGTGTTTATTTGAAATTCCTATATATATTAACTATTTTAAGGTTGTATTTAGTTTATCATTTAATTCACAAGCAAAAATTAGATCCAATTTGTTTTGTGTAGTCATTTTTATTTGTGAATTATGAAATAGTTACCAATGTGTATGTTATCGTAAAACTGTGTCTCTTTCAGGATTAAAATACGAACATAAGTTTGCACGAGCGATGGAAAATACAGCAGAAGAAATAGTCGACTGCAAAATTGCATCTCTAGTATTCATTGGTCTGTCGAAAGCAGTAAAATCACAAGATGGAATAAATCGTAGCCTCGCCTTAAAAGTGACAAAGATATATATTTTTATTTCAACATACATCTTTGTCTATTTTAAATTCAAAGATAAAATGAAAAAGAAAACCTAATTTAATAGAATATTTTTTGTTATAAGACGCCTGTAGTATCTTATTAAAATGTAGCAGCGTAAATGTGACTGTTTTTATTTCTTCTCTTTATTTTAAAATATTGTGTACATTTGAAATATAAAACTGAATAACTAAAATATCAAGAATGCAAACTCTATCTAAAAACCCTATATACAAATACTACTACCCTATACATATTTACAAATTACTTCATTAACAGAGAAAAAGGAAA